GAAGTTGAGGGTATTGGTTATGATTTCACGCCTACTGTTAATGACTACGACGTTGTGGATTCATGGTTAAAAGTGGATGATAAACAGAGCTTTACGATGGCGAAGCGTTTGAATGCCGAAGAGGCGTTGCTATGCGGGGGTTCGGGTGGTTCCGCCATGTATGCCGCGTTGCAGGTCGCCAAGGAATTGAAGGAGGGACAACGTTGTGTAGTTCTTCTGCCCGATGGTATACGAAATTATATGACGAAATTCGTATCGAATAATTGGATGGAGGCGCGTGACCTCAAACCGGTGGTGAACGAACACAATCACTGGTGGTGGGATACGCCGGTGAGTGCGTTGAACTTGAAGGTACCTGTGGTGCTTAAATCGGATGTGAGCTTTACCAAGGCGATTGAGGCTCTGAAGGAGCACAATGTTGAACAATTGGCGCTCGTCGATGCCGAGGATGGGTAAGCGAGAAATTGGAGCACTTATTTGTCAATAAAACATCACTTAGATTTTTTTATTTCATTTTAGCACACTTTTGGGCGCCTTACTTCAAGAAACCCTACTCAGCCAGGTCGTGAGCATGAATCGTCAACAAGACGAGCCTGCCATCAAGGCAGTGAACAAACGTGTAATACGTTTGCCTTCCACTGCTATATTGGGTAAATTGGCGCGCATTCTAGAAATTGATCCCTGCGTATTAATTGTGGACAATGAAGGTGAGTTTCCCAGCGTCAGTCAAAATTATGATTTAATGCAAATTTATTAATTATGCAGGTGATAAAGAGGTCATCAAAGGACTTGCCACCAAATTAGACGTGCTAGCTTACATTGCTAAGGGTTCTGTTCACACCAATGGCACAAATGGGCAATAAAATCGTTGGGACATGCCTCCATACTTAAAACTTAATAATATTTAATCCGTTCCGACAGATGGTTGGGGCTAATTCAATGAGGTTGGCGCTACTTAAGTCAGATGTTCCTGCAGGGAATCAATTTCCGAACTGTCAGCACTTTTGCTTTTCAAAGTAGGCTAAAGCCAACAAACTCGGCGTAGGCCATGTATTCGAATCGATAGACATTAAATAAATGAAAAATAATTTAGAAAAGAAAATTTAATACAAAGTAAAAACGTTTAAACGGCAGTTGATAAATTAGCTGTTACTTAAGTTTATCCAGATGATAAATTAACTGTTACTTAAGTTTATGTTATATTAAAAAAACCTTTTTCGTTCCGAAAATAAGACTAAAATAAAATTAAAAATTATTCTTTTTATTTAACAAAAAATTAATATTTTTTATTGCTAACTTTAATAGTTAAGAATTATATGAGTGAGTATTTATGTAATGTAAAAATGCTGTGACGTCAGGCTGGAAGCGATTAATAGCGAAGAGGGAGAAATAAAGGGGAATCAGAATATAAATGTATGTATGTATGTACGTACACTCAGGAAGCTTCAAATTGGTGGTCCTAAAATGCGTGTTGAAAAAGTAAAGTCGGAATTTTTAGGCCCGCACCCCTTATATAGACGTCGCTCAAAGCGCTCAAAATTGTCCATGTATTTTATATGGGAGGAAAAAACAAGTTTTCGTAGAAGTGGTATAGAATTCTTGAAAATCAACCATTTTCCCAATAATGGGTAGGTTCAGAATCTGAAAGTGCCCAACGATACCCTTTTTTTACTTAAACACAGTAGCTGTATTTTAAAGGTCCCCCATAAACTTCAGAAAGTGCAATGGGGGACCAATAAAAAATCTTTAGTATTAAAAAAAAATCTTTAGTATTAAAAAAAAAAATCTTTAGTATTAAAAAAAAAAATCTTTAGTATTAAAAAAAAATATTTAGTATTAAATAAACCATTGGGCAATATTATTGCAAGTCTCCTGAAGAGAACCATGGTTTTCCCATCGAAATATATTGAATTCCATCCAATTCCTAAGAAAAGTGGTTTTTTCCCCAATAAAATATATGGAAAACTTTGAGCGCTTAATTGAGCATTATAATTCCGACTTTACTCTTTGGGACCACCCTAACCTACATACACAATACATACGCAAATTAAATTGTTGACGTAGTAACAGGTTTGTTCGTCGAGCAAAAAATTTGTACGAATTTGTACGAATTATCACGATTTTTGCCCAAATCGCNCTTGTATATCCTATTTTTGGCCATCCGAAAGAATTTTAAAAATTCTATAAAAATTTTTTATGTTTGAAATGCAACCGTGGACGCCAGCTGGCAGCGAAACTTGCAAATTCCTGCAAATTTGCGTTCGTGCAGAAATTTGCAAGTTTCTCAACATGAGAGAGAATTTGAGAGAATTTTTTCTTACTCTCTGATATTTTGAGTGTTGGATAATTCTTACTGGATTTTCGACGAACAAACCTAACATTTCTCAAAAGCGTTGCGGAGCTGAAAACCAAACTATTTTTCGGTTTAGAATTTTCTCTTAATTATTCACCGGCATAACGATGCTTCTTCCTAATATAGAATTTTTCCAAAAGTTCGAAAAAACCCCATCTGTAGGCGGTTTTTTCTCTACTGCTACGAGACATTTCTTGTCGCCCATGTTGTTTCTTGGGTTCGCTGAAAGCCGGCCACTTCTTCGGCGACGGTACGTAATGAGCGAGAAATGTGAATGTCGATCAGCTTTAGTCCATTATCGGACGTTTCGTCATACGATGGCAAGACCAAATATCCGATGGGAGGACAGTACTCGGCGTCGAACTTCCTCCTCCACCACAAATCCGGCATCGTATTTGGGCTCCCTAACATGGCAGCTGTAGTAGACGTCGCAAGGCCGCACATATTTTTTGTTTGCTAGTCCGGCGAATTGCAGCTACGTTCTCTCAAATCATAGTTGCTTAAACATTCAGCGTGGTCAACATCAGAAGAAGGTACTCATCCGGGGCTTCGTTTTCCATTCCTCTATAACTTTGTTTTACGTGGTATAAACAGAACCTGGAAGGTGTTTTTGAGTAAGAGTCGATCCTAGGCCAGAGAAATGAAAAGGCGGAGACATACTAAACTGGTACAGTCTGGGTTTCCCTTATCACCTTTGACAACCTTAAGTCACCTGGTTTTGATGGCATGTCGTGCTGAAGGTAAATAAAACATTTTTTGGACGGTGTCGAAGAACCTTTGGTCAGGCTTGAGATTTGAGACCAGCTATGAAACTTTGGCTGTACATATGTAGTTAGCCCGATTGCCACGTATTCTACTCTAGTATAGTGACTTAGAACCACGGCTAAAGCCACAGTATCTATATTAAACGGGCTGCAAAGGAGTATATGTATAGCCGTTAAGGTCGCCATGAACACAACGTCAGGTGGGGATCGGATTTTCTACCGCTGGATTAGGCGATCCAAGAGGAGTCATTAGGGCAATGTGTCAATAGCATTCCCTTTGATGGTAAAACGGCGATCGAAGTTTCGGGCAGGGGGAGTTGTTTGAAAGGTTCTCACAAGAATACCCGTAGTTTTTGGCCCGAAATGGATTTTAACTTTACCCTACAGGCAACAAACTGACTGATGAAATGACGAATTGTTTTTTTTTTAGCGTTCAATACTTACCCTAAAAAACAACCCAGTGCTTGATGAAAAGGTCGGATAATGTGGTGGCGAATTGAGACCATTGCCAGAAAAATTGTTTTCAATCATTTTCATGATAGAAACAAACGCTTCGGATTTTCATTAAACTCTTAAATTATTTCCTTCTCAATCATCACTTGATTTTAGTTAGTTCAGAAAGTCATTCCTCTCCTCATTGTCGTTCTTTTGGGTATGCAGTTACAGTTGCACGGCTATATTCAGTCAGGATTCCTGCGTCCCCGTTCGCGCACTCTGAGCAATGGAATCAACCCATGTGCGAGATACGGTAACCAACTCATGCTGAGCCTTGGTTCACGATGAAAGATAAGCGGGACTCGGAAGAGCCTTTCCGATTTATTCGTTTTAAGGGTTGACTAATGCCACCAGCATTTATTAAGCTTTAGATTCGGCCACAAGCGGGCGTATGTTGTCTAAGCATGTGACTGGGAGTATATAAACGTTAAATATTTTGGCAGACATTCTAAGGTGGTACCGCTGCGGTCGATCTCTTTTTCGATACTCTGTACATACGCTGCACCCTCCGGCGGGCAAAGCCGAACGTCGAGTGGCCAGAAGGCTGCACAAACTGCCAACTCCTAGCGCGCCTTTTGTTTTCACCAGCGGTGAAGATCTGGTAGCCATCTCCGAACTTTCTCGCTTCCTCGCCAAAGCAAGTCAAGAAGCATTTATACCAACTGACGGACGAAGTCCAGAGGTTCACAAAACAACATCTGGACCCGATTGCATACCAACAGGCCTTAAACGGCATTCACAAGTAGTCGGTCTTGACTTACATCGACTCCCGAACTGGGAATGGCGTTTTAGGTATACAGCCACCCGACGGGGACGGGACAGAGCTTTGGCTGTCTCGGGCGAGTCGCATCACAATAGCTCAACCTTGCTTTGGCTACTGCAGCAGGCTAAACACGTACCTGAGAGTGAACGCAGATGTGCTCAATGAGTGGCGGGCATGCGGAGAGTCGCCACATGTCTCTCGGAGCCTCTTCGAATGCCCCCAGAAACCCCACCCAGCTAACGCCTCTGTCCTTATGGACAAACCCAGTGGAAGTAGTACACTTCCTAGACAAGCCGATCCGAGTGGGGTTTACTAGCCGCTACAACAACAAGGGCTATCCGATCTCGGTAGGGCTAAGTAAACCGCTAAACAACAGCATCCAGAGAGACAACCCAATTTTGAAAGCTTAAAAGGTTCGATCATTCCAACCACATAACCGTAAAGAACAAAATCCTCCGGTACAAACCAAAGAATTTACATACAGATGTATATTTAGTCTTAGAAAATTTTTATTTTTTCATTCATTACTTTTCAACATATGCTATTGGTCATTTTTGGACTGCATCTCTTTAGCGCTATTAGTCTTTTCCTATTTGTATTTTAAAAGTTGTGTGTGGTAAATGCAATATGTTACTCAAACAATAATTATTTTAAACTTAAAAGTATATAGAGAGCCGACGACCAAGATAGTGATTGATTGCAGATCTAATATTCATTTGATGCATTATATTGCATTGATAAGTAAAACTTGCGCCGTTTACCTAATAAAATTACAAATAACATCTTGATTAGAAAGCCTTCTTATTAAAAGTCAGATTACTTATAATGTAGGGCAAAACATGCATACTTTATGTTATTTAGAGAACGTACATTAGTAGATGCAATGAATTTATATTTGCACCTTTTTCTATAATTATAATTTCAAGTTTCTGGCGCAAATACATACATGTGTGCATAGTTAAGTTCGACGCAGATTTCATGTTTCGAGAAAAAAAAAAAACAGTACATTCAAGAATAAACAAAGCACCACTTTTAGTAACTTCAATTCCAAAACAATTATACAAAACTATAGCAAGACTCAGATTCTTTTTTGTAATTTCTAAATACTATAAAAGTACGTCACTGGCTAGAGCATTAATTATGTGTTGCTAGAACTTAGCAAAGTAGCTGATGCGTTCATACCCCGCGATTTCGCAAATCTTTCACCTTATAAATGCGCACCAACCAATGTTCTGTGGTGTAGGCTTCCTCCAGAACATCTAGCTCAAAATCTTTATTACCAATTTCGGCAGCGCGTACACGATCGTAACCTGGCGGTTTACCACCTTCAGTGTACACTTGACCAAAGCGATAATAACACATCTTGTACATAAGGCAATTGAGTAGTGTTGGTGAACCCTCCTTGTCGACGCGGAATTCCCCATTGGCGGCATAATAATCACGTTCTTTGATGTGTGCACCGCGATCTGTACTACCACCTATGCGCACCATCCACAAGAATTTGTTTATGTCGTCAGATGAATAACCAGTTAGACCACCAAAGATAACAAGCACATAATCGACGTCTAATTCACGCATGATTTCATATGCTTTTTCCTCAGATGAAGCCATCGCTTGGCCAACACGAGATATATGGGTGTTATTCCAGGTATTGTTATCTACTAGAATTGTACGATTAGCCATTGCCGTTATTTGATAGCCATAATCCCACCAAGACATTACTCGTGCATCCTGTACGAAAAAACAAATGAAATTTAGCGCCATAGTAGAACAAATAGTAAAACTAATTTATATAAACACGCAGTCAGCTAGTTAATAGTACTCATTTGGGTTTCATACTCTTCCTATCAAGAATTTCAAGTGTTCATCATGCGAAAGCTTCAATGGACAAATAAAACCAACTCATCGGTTCAACTCACCTCTGGTGTGTTCATCTGCAGCCAATAGTATGCCTCTCTAAAATCATCAAAAATAATGCGACCACCATCGTGTGAACGTGCACTAAGTACAATGCTTGGGGAAGAGTATGCTTCTGATGTTACCCAAGTGCAGTGGAATGTGTAAACAATGAGCATAAACGTAATTATGCCAACAAAGCCGACTGCAACTTCACTCTTTACACCACTACTCTGCTGTTCTAGTTTTTTATATTGACGCTTACTTTCAATGGGCTTAGAGGACCCTGCGTCAATACATTTTATGTACTTGGATAACAGATGCGACGTGGCAATACCAGACAGAACGCACATAACCGGCGCTAATACAAGCATTAAACGAACCATCACACCCTGCAGGATAGTAATAGGCACTATGTTTATATATTCAATGAAAAATTTAAAGTACTACAAATCATTACCGCAAAATAAATACTTGTAACGCCATACAGTATGATGAAGATATTGGAATCGGTTAATTTGGAGAAGCAAAAGTACAAGCCAGCTGGGAATAGGAATACCAATATCTGAAAGTAAGAAAATTAATCAAATTAAAATTTACACAGTAAGCAGTAATTTTTTTTTTAGTTAAATTTCAGCGATCAAAGCGTGAAGTAATCAATATGTGATAAACAGCCGCAAATCAGTGGAAAATCAACTGCGGCACGTTTACGGACATTAAAGCGCACTCATCCATATAATTGTCATCAGTTTAAATCTGATAATTTTTACGTCCAAATTACGTGTACGTACCTGTAAATCAAAGTAGAACGACGACCATGACGTGGGCTGATGCTCCGATACAGATGCGATGATTGGAATGTGATTCTTCGCATATGAAGGATCGAGCAATGAATAGAAACGACCAGTCCAAGGTGATACTTTGCCAGTGAGCGTCAATACAGTGCCAATTAAAAACGCCGTTGTGAGTATAGTAGATACTAACGCTTTAAACAGTACTTCGAAATTTTCTTTGGAAAGCCTCGCTCGTAGACAATCAACAAAAGCGTGTATTTGACAGAGTCCAAAAGTGCCAAGTGCCTGGGACGTGACAAAAAAAAAAGGAAAATTAATATTTATTGTCTGTACCTATAAGGATATAAAACGATAATTTTTTTTCAGCTTTGTGTTTGGTATTCATGTAAGTTTCATACTCTTCCTATCAAGAAATCACTGTAATCATCACGGATGTATGTACATATCGCTCATTTGCTGCTATAGTGTCATCATCCAAAAAATCAAAGCTCCAGAGAAACTTTCATATATTTTCATATACTGACAAAGCAAAAATGAACACATATTTCGTTATGGTGAGCAGCTCAGTTACAGCTATGAAATTTTTACACAACATAGAACAACAGGTAGCGATATCTGCATAGGTACTTAGCCCGATTTGGTATTATTTTGGATAACGACACTCTTGCAAAAAATCTATGATATATATTTACCTGAAAAAAATCAAATATTTATTACAGATATTTCGACTCACCAACATATGCTCGGAACTTTGTATTGGCTGAAAGCCGACAAAAGAAATCTGCATCGACAGAATAGTGCCTACACAATAGAGAGTACTGTAGGCAACATAGATGCGATGCGAAAAGCGACCAGTGATCATCAGAGCCAACACGTGCAGTGGTATCAAATTGATCAGGAACACATAACCACCCCATGAGGAAACCATGTAAAAGTATGCCAACGCGGACATTGAAGACCAAAAGATGGCGCCACTTTTTACTGCCTTGATCCACAAGTAGTAGGTTAGTAGCATGCAGAAGATGGCGATGCCCTCATTATCATAAGATCCAGCTACAGAACGAGAAATATAACCGGGCACAATCGAGATGAGCGCAGCAGCCACTAAGCCAGCTCCAGTGCTCTGCAAGGGAAAAATGCATTATAATTGTTGAGAAAATATCATAAAAATAAGCGTAAGAATTAATGAAAAAATGCAAGATCTAACACCACGTGTACTCAATTACACATAACCTCTATCTTTAAGCAAATCTTTATATACTTACGTGAATTTCCTTTGTAAGCGCATAGGTGACCAACGTGGTCAATGAGGAGAAAAATGGCGCCAGGAACACACAAACATTCCTTATCTCAATGGTAATATTCAATAACCACATGAGTCTGTAGAGCGCTGCAGCTGTCACCATCAGTCCAGGATAAATGGTGCCGCCAATAATGCGACCCAGTGGATACCAAGCGCGATCATCGAACCAATTGTGAAATTTGTAGAATCCTTGTTCAGCAAGAAACCGCGTAGTGCGGTAATTAAAGTACGGATCGAATTCATGGATTACACTTTCAAAACGGAGCACGGAAAACAAACGCGTGGCGAACGCTGCAAAGAATATTTTAAAATGAACGAGTTCATAATGAGCAAAGCACCATCGCACAATTATTTGAGTGATTTAGTATTTGAGTGAGAATAGCCGGAGCTATCAAAATTGAGTGAAACTGCTCGCGACTGGATTTATATATTTTCGTAAAATTTTTCTAATTAATATCTACATATTTATAATTAAATACATATACAAGTTAAAATAAAGTATATTCCCACATCATAAGCTTCATTTTAAATAAACTTACAGAGCACAGCCGCCAAAATCAACACTGCCAATTTAACGAGATGTTCCTGCTTTTCCCAAGCCAACGCTATCTTTGATCGGCTGCCAGCCAAATAAGCTGTGTCCAAGGTCATACTTTTAACAACTTTTCAAGAAACCACTACCTTTTATAATCCGTATTTATACAAGTGCTCCAACGCAAAATATGATACAGCTCAGCACAAAAAAGCCGGCTAGCGACGCAGCGTCGTCGTTGCCGCAAAGAAAATTTTAAACACAACTATCCACTAAGAAAAGTAATTTAAGTTACACTGGTAACATATCCCGTCTAAATTTCACTAAAACTAAAAAAAATTTACGATATTTTATTGCTAAAATTGTGTTAAATATTTTATTTGAAAAATCTGATGTACGTGTCCGTGGCAAAAACGCCCAAGAAATTTGTTAAATGACACAACCGGCTAAAATGTCAAACGCGGCTGTGTTTATCGAGGTGCTGCCAGATAAATAAATCCGTTATCAAGTGCAAAAAAAAATATTTCGGAATCGATTAACATTTTAATCGAGCTAACGATATTTGGTGTTTACACCATGGTGTAATGAACTGAAGGCGGCGCATTCCCGAAACCGCTACTTTGGTTTTGCCGACTTTGACGTTTATGGCAATACGTAAACAAACTTTTTGTTTAGAAACAAGTGCAAACGATTGCAAACGTATTGTGTACTTTCAAGGTGAAAATCGAAGTAATTCGTGCGTTCTAAAGTAAAAAAACGTTTTATTTGTAATAAAAACTTTATAAAAATGTGGTGTCATGTGTTGAATTGCAGCAGCCGCAGGGGTAAAGCCCCCCAAGTGCAGTTTTTTCATTTTTTTTTTATTATCACTTTTTCGGCACCTGCAATACAAAAACAAAAATTCTAAATAGTTAATTAATAAGACCAATTCTTTTGAACACATTTCAAGAGTGGTTGTATATTTTTTGTTAACGCTGTGCTTAATTTGCTATATTCAAAGATGGCTTGATAAATTGGTGAGTCGTGAAGAAAACACGTTTTCTGACTGCAAATTCACACCTGTCAATTCATTGTTCTTCGCCATATTCTTTGTTTACCCATTGCCACAAATGTCATTCTGCGGGAATGCGCAATCTTGTATTCTATCGTTCTTGGTACTACACCTTGTATAATTAGCGACAGAACGATACGAGTACCGAGTACAGAATGTAGATACTTTTCATGAGTACTGAGTAGTATCGAGGACTCGATACTTTTTGACAAGTACTGAGTGAATATCGCGAATTCCAAAAAGTATCGACGTTTTAAAAACTTGTTTAAGTAAATTTTTTCTTAAATTACATTTAAAAACGTTTAAAAGTTACCCCAGTGTAAGGAAAGGGTTAGGAGGGTGGTCTGCGGCTCGATAACATGGCAGTTCTCCAGAATAACGGAGCCTTCGTTTTCCAATGTATTCCACCATTCGATTCTTTTTTTAGAAAATTATAAATGAGCACTAGTATCGATACTTTTCTAAAAAGTTCCATCACTATGCATAATTTTACCATGCTCATGCAATTTGAATTGTGCGGCTTGTCGTTCAGCCATTTTAATAAACATTTATTTCAGCGGTGGAAAATAAAAGCGTTGTGTGCCTTCGTTCCAAACGTACAAGTAAGTAAAAATTGCGATAAAAGTTGTTTTAAAACTTTGTATATTTAATGCGTCTTTTATTGTGCAGTTGCAATTACATCTTTGTAAATTGCGCGGCTCGGCGTTCGGCCAATTCAAATTGCATTTTGCATTCAGCGGTGGAAAATAAGCTTTGTGTGCCTTTGTTCCACTCCTACAAGTAAAGACCGCGATAAAATTTCTTATAAAACTATGTATATTTAACGTGTCTTATTTATCCAGCCCAGTTTTTGTGTCCAGCATTTTAGTTCCGTGGTGGAAAATTGTTTTAAGAAGTTTAATATTTGCAAGTACTGTATTTTACAAAAAAAAAAAATGAAGGGGAGCACCTTTTATAATAATTTGAGAACTGAAAAGAAAAGTTGTGAGAGATTTGCAGAGAAATATAAAAGGTTGTCCCAATTTGCCGATTCGGATTGGGGCGAGTGCAGTGCCCCTGCGAATGCACAAAATACTAGCGTGGATATTTAATTTTCTGACTCCGATTGCCGGTCGGAAAATGAAACAGAAATTATATGCCAACCAGTAATATTATAGATTTTGAGACGAGAGACACGATTCTGTTTAAAAAGCGGAAAAACATTTCAACCCCTTAATTTGAGAAATGTATTATATGTTGCCTTTTTATGATTTGCATGCAGTTGTGCATCCTTCGCAAATTTTATATCCCTAGTTAAACTTCAAAATTCCTTTCGACATTTTACGCAATTTTTTTTCCAAATTTCGCAGTAAAAACTAGTACAGCAGTTTCGATGTTTGATTTAAAATTGTTATAACTTGGCTCTCAGAGGGCCTAGAGGCTTATACCTTGACTCAAATTAAAGGTCTTCAATTGCACTTATTGTTCGAGGGATATAAAATTGTGTGAAGGATGCACAGCTGCATGCAAATAGAAAAAAATACTATAAATAATGCATTTTTTAAATTAAGGTGTTACATTTTTTTTTTCGAAGTTTGAACAGTGGAATTGTGCTGCTCGACTCAAAATCTATAGTAATAAGTATAGTATAGTATAGTAGTAGTATAATAAAAAAATCTATTAGAAATGTCCAACTTCATAACAGAAAAAATTTCAATTAGCACGAAATTGTTCCGCAAGTAGAATCAAATACCAAGAGTGTAATTGAGATTCTTAACCAAACTCGGATTTCTCGACCAACTCGGATTTGGGGGGGATTGAAAATTACTTGATAAAAATCTTGGTACAATTTCTTTACAAATAATTTCTCAAGAAAACACATAATTGGGCGGTAAGTCGTGTCTAACCAGGCTGCGGACAATAACCAGCTTTTGGCTTCAGGCGCTAAACGGTTAAGTAGTATATTAAGCAACATTGATGGGCCTTCAACAAGTACTGCCAAAAGTCTTATAAGCAACCTACAAATGATTGTAGATTCCTCCTGCGAAAGCGAAGTGTCGGATGTAGAATCTTGAACCATTAAAAAATTTGAAATTAAAGCTTAATATTAACAAAAAGGAGCTCATCTCTGAAAATCCTCTCGATTGGTGGACAACTAAACTAAAATACGACAAATTTACAGATCTGGCCCGCAAATACTTCAGCGCTGCACCCCCCAGCGTTCCAAGTGAGCAATTATTCACGTTCCCACGACAGTCGGGTCTACGTAACCGGAACGACCCAGATTTATATCTGGCCAAGGACTGTCACTCCAGCAACACTTCCCAAAAAGTCTTTGGGGAGTTTGTATGCTGTTACAACAACAGCAATTATTCACTGCAGCCGGCCTTATATACGAGCCTCTAAGAAATCGCCTCATTTGAGGAAAAATTATTTTTTTTAATATAATATCCCCTTTCGAACTTTGACTACTTACTACATTTAAACACTTTATAGGTTTAGCACTCGTTCAATGTTCTAATAATTTCCAAATTTGTAAGTAATAAAAACGATGACTAAGTTGATTATCAGGCCGATTCTGAACAGAAACTCCCTGGAAGTTTTCTCTCTTTTCCCTTTCCTCCTATCATGAATAAAAATTCCCTGAGGACTTTTTATATTAAATGGCGGAGTTGAGCTCTCAAAAAAGTGCCAAACAACTTCTTCGAAGTTTGAATTTCCCCCTCCCAAGTTTTCGGGGAAAATTCTACTCCCTGGTAGTTAATTATTGGAGGATTTCTTTTTCGGAAGAGACAAATTTCCCGGGAGTATTAAGAATTGGGCTGTATAGCTTTTTTAATGTTATTCCTAACATTCGCATTCGCACATGCGCATTCCGAAAATTCGCATTCGCATTCGCGAATATGGAAAATAGACATTCGAAACATCCCTAATGCCAACATATGTTACCCTACAAGAATTGTGTGATGGAAACTACCACGTTCTCATCTATCTTACTAACATCATTTGCAAATTTTTCGTTGGTTAAAAAAGAGACCATTAAATAAGGCCATAAGTTAGAGGAAAGCGGAAGATCACATGTACACAAATGTTTACATCAGATTTTTCACACTGCCCTTTAGAATTTGATAGAAACTTGTAGGTAGCCAGTGACAGAAATCTCTATCAGTCTTGCCACTCAAATGATTTGTCAAATGATAGTCACTGTTCTTGCAGGGTTAGTGTTTAGCCGAGCTTCCGCTCCGATTTATGGCGTGCATGTTATTACACAAAGGGGAGGGACCTACAGCTTTACGTCGACTTCGAGCGGCGATTGTATTTTTATTATAAGCAGAAATGCGCTCGGAGGCTTGCCTTTGCCTTCCGAGAGGCGCCCGCTATTAGAAAAAAACACTCATAGATACCCAAAGACATGCGAGTTTTAATGGTTTTACGGGTAAAACGGCTTACTTGTGTGAAATTAGGTAGCTTATGTACAACTATGTAGCGTACGGCAACAGCTTCCTGCAAAATCCTGACAATTGCTGTAAATCTTGAAGTGTTTGCGTAAGACTTATTATATTCAAATAAAAATAAAACTTTAACATTACACATAAGTCACTCAACCCACTGACACTCTTTATTTTCCTTCCAATCTGAATCTCCATTGTCATACATTTCCTTTTTCCAAATGGGCACTTTTTTCTTTAATTGTTCAATTGCATATGCTACTGCGTCTAAAGAAGCCTGTCTATGAGGCGATGCGATTGCTACAACGACACTTGCTTCTTTGGGCGCAACTAAACCAAGACGATGGTACATTGCAATATTCATTATATCCTGCCAACGTGAACGTAGTTCTGCACATATATTTTGTAGTTCTTTATAAGCCATTGGTTCATAAGCTTCATACTCCAGCGAACATACCTGTGGGAAATTCTTGGCTAATACAAACGAACAGAAGTTGAATTTATTTTCAAGTACTTACCGTTTTACCTTCAAAAGAATTCCGAGTAGTACCTACAAATAACGAAATCGCACCACACTTCTCATGCGATACCAAAGTGCTTATCGCACCCACGTCAAGAGGGTCTCGGGTTATCAGTAAAAAATTTGCCATTGTGCTGCTAGCCCCCACTAATTGGTGGGATAATTGCGATTTCGTCACCTTCGCGCAGTTCTAAACTTTCCAACAAATTTTCACAATATGCCTCATTGATTGCAATTATAAAATTATTTTTAATAGAATCTAAATTGTAGTTTAAGCAGATTTGTTCCGAAATTTCAGATGCAGATATTCGACGTTTCAGAACCAACGAAGTGGAATCTACACCAGCGAGATCTCGTGCTTTGGCGAAAAATAGCAACTTAACAGTAACAAAATCTTCACTATCAGATTCGTTCATTAGAACTCGAGAATGTAGGCTCGATATACGCCAAAAATAAAATAGTAATATTTAATTTTC